GGGAGGAGCAGCAGTTGTGACGAGGGCGCTGCTCTGAAATTAAGATAAGAAGGCGAGACCACGAAGGGGTCAAATATCTCCTCTGCTTTAAAATAGTTTGAAATTTAAAACAAGTCGGGCCCACCAACTTTGGTAGTGAAATTCATCGAGTGGGTCCAACTTGGTGGATTCCTCGCTGCTGCTGCTGCGGGGGAGGAGAAGGCGGTGCAAGACGAAACCCCAACTTCTTCTTCTTATGTTCTCCTCCTTGGCAAAATTGTGGACCCAGCAGGCAGGCAGCAGGCAAGATCCAAAGATGTAAAGTATCCCAAACTATTACAAACTTTTGTGTCGAGGCTTGTGAATTATATGCGCATATTTCTCCCAGACAAATCCCACACTTTGATAATCCCCCATTCTTCCCACCATCTTGCTCTCTACGGAGAGGACAAATATCTCCCAAAATTGTGCGACCCTTCTGCCACTTGCTTCGAATTCTCATCATCTGCTTCCCCCGATCCACATATTTCTTGCTGAAAAATGTAATGAGGAGAAAACTTGCAGAGTCTGGTTTCCATCGAAGGAATCATCCGTCAGGTCGATGGCCATGTTGCAGCAGGAACGTCAAAAGCAATAAGATTGGGTGGAAATGTATTTTATTACCTTCTCCTCCACCACCGCGCGACGCACTCCCCGTCACTCGGTCCATTCATTCATTGTCCCGATCACCAGGAAGTGAAAGCTTTCTTTTCTTGGAGTCGACGGAAATGATGCTGTCTACATTTGTCATTTCCTTCACCACGACCCTCTGCTCATTGTCAACTCCTCGCTTTTTCCCTCCCACTAAAAAAATCCCATATCACGACACCTTACTTCAAAAGGAGTGGTGAGGAGTGTGCATTTGTAGGTTTGAGGTAGCACCCGCATTCACCTGGCTATCGCTTTCTCCACCGGCTTTAAAGACTCTTCTTCCCTGTAATAAAGCGTAATCTGGGTTTAAAGCAGTGTAGGAAATTTGTAATGTGCCTTCTGCCTCGAGTTGATTGGATTTCGTGGTTCGGCGGAAGGGGTTTGTGTGCTGCTGCTGGTGTTATAAAATGTTGCTCTGATTTTATGTTGCCACAAGCTCTACGGGATATTGCCCACGTGTGAGGAGGATGTCTGTCTGTCTTTACTCGGTGTGTGTGTGTGTGTGTGAGGTGTGAAATTCTCCCATTTGTATTCCAACTCTGATAGCACCAAATGGATCTCATTCCTCTCCTTCCAGAGAGATCAGTCTAATACTCGGACCGACTTCATATCCTCACAAAACTGCACCCCACTTTTTCATCTGGGAGGAGGAGATGAACTCTTTTTCGTCCCACGCCGCATCACCAGCGCCAGATGCTGCACTGCTCATCAAATCATGTCGCAATGCACACAATAATGCACTGGAAACACGGTCATAATAATATTACGCTCCTAAATCCACAGATAGAAAGCGTACGGCGGCCAGTAATACTTGTTCTCTTTGTGAATATTTTCCCCACAGCCATAAGAACAATGTGTCGGAAGCAGTGTGAGTTAGTGGGATGATGTGCAAACGTGGTTGCCTTTCGAAGCGGCACAGTCTACCAGGATTGGGATGGACTTGGGCTTGGTGGCTGGAGAAAGCGGAGGGATAACAACGAGTGTGTCGTACATGGGGTAACAGATTGAGAGTGAGTGGCAATTGCGGAGGGACTTCACGGATTGAGCACAAATTTCATCTCATTGCACACTTCTCCTTCTCCCATGGACGGATTAGATTACATTACTTCACTTCCCATTTACATTACAATTCCTCCGTCCAAAGGACTGTCCAACCCAATCCCCTCTCAACCGGAACTCACTCCTGCTCCAGAGAGGAGAGAAAGTCAACTCGCCATCGAGACGGCCGAGTCGATCAGCCAAAGCTCTCGTGCGTCCACATGTTTCCCGTCCTCCTTTCTTCTCACACTTCTTGCGACATGGCTTCCGTGCGTGCCACGACACAAAACCAATATGTGTTCAAGTCTCGCTCTAGCTAGTTGTTCACTCGCAATTTTAGGCGCCTCCATTCATCGCTCCCCAGTCTTGTTGTTCCTGGCTACGACTTCTCCGACCTGTTGTAAATAGGTGAGAACAGGAGTCCTTGAATGAAATATTGACTATCGGATCATGAGTGGTGTATGTATGTATGGGATTCCTGAGCATTTAGCACCACACACCACACCACCACCACTAACCAGCCCAGAGTGTAAGGAAGGGAACGAGTGAAAGCCCCTTAGCCCGTTCTCTTGATTGATTAAAACTTTGCATGGCTTCTGCTCTCATTGAATCTCAAAAGCAAAAGTAAACATGTGTACCCCGAGCTGTGCCACATTTTTGAATGTATTGATCATTCTACAACGGTGGCAAAGGATTCTTGTAAATACGATTTCAAAACATGCCACGTGAGCTATTTTAGGCGCCTGTACCTACTTATTCAAGTATTTATGTAGCATCATCCCGTGTCCGATGTAACAACATTGTAAATACACGGTGGTTGTGTGTCTAATGTGAAATATATAACATAATCAGGAGTAATTGGAATAATAGGGTGGAATACATCGTGGTGTCTGCCCTTTCACCATAACTCCACTTCCTTTCCATGTAACGAATCCTCCATTTCACTTCCAACGACCCAGAGTAGTCGGAGGCAGTCAGTTTCCCCACCGTCGAGGAAAGCGAGCATGTTGTCGAGGATTGCATGACATTACGACTTTCGGCTTGGCGTTGGCTAACTAACGCATTCACGATCTAATGATTTGAAAACAAACCTAAATCCATTACCGGCCAAAGTTACGGCTGGCGGTGAGTGCAAAAATCCTGTCGTAATCTGTGCCCTACATATTTAGCCTGGTGGCGTATATTTATCGACTCTTGGATATAAAATATTTACTGGAAACATGTCAGACAATGAATCAAGCATTAATTATTCAGGGGTTGTGCAACAACTCGGCGTTGACCAAATGGTTGTGTCCCCCGTGACATGAATGGTGTCCGCCTAGCTCGTGTTGTTGTTTTATGTTGATTGGGTCATTCGGACCGGGACCTGCTAGCTCATCACCATGTGCTGTTCACCGTGAATCCATAATTCTCTCGTAGTACAGAATTATTAGAACTCTCCCCAGTCATGGGCACGTTTTAATTCAAATAAGCAAACAGAGGAGCGGATAAGGAATGAAAATTTACTCAATTAACTCGTCGAAATGGGGCACACACAGTAAATACTGGGCAAATATGGAGGGAGAGGCGGTTGCCTTTGCCTCATTTACATTTAATAACGTCCCAACTGCGGGCTCCGCCACAGTTTTCTACTTTTTGCACATCATCACGTACGTAGTGCTGCCAGACATGCAATCCACTCTCTCCACTTTCACAAGCGGAACGGAGTCAACGTCACTTCCGGTCTCGGGAGCCCGATCATGTCCACCTTGTTGCCTTGAGCTTCAAACTGCTTACTTATGTATGTATTCATTCGTACATATTTACGAATGTACCATTTCACTAACTGTTTGGATTACGAGGGGTGACATTCGAAATAATATGGATTGAAATTCCCAGCGGGCAGTCGACTTGGTGGTCAAGGAAAGTCAAGCAATTAAAAAGTCTGCTGCGGGGAGAGTAAGGAGTGGGCCCAGAATTATTAATTCAGGGGAAGAGAGTGAGTGGAGGCAACAAGGTGGTCGGTATGCAACAGTAATCGTTGGAAATGGTATTATTTTGTGACTCATGCCGTTGGGCGAGTCTGGTCAGCACGACTGAATTGGGGGCTGCAGATGTGGGACATTGTTCCTCACATTTCGGAGAAGAGCTGTTGAGCAGTATTCTTTAAATTGGCCCACAAGCAGGAGGCAGGCAGGCAGGAATCGATACGATATATCAAAATGTTATTGCGTGCTTGGCGAGTAATGAAAGCGCTACTTTATTCGAGAAGGTCATCATGGCATGAGCTATTGTTTTCCCAGAATTTGCAAACTGGAGAGCGAAATGGCAAATTATCATGACCCACACACACACACACACATAGACCAGTGCATGCCTCTCACTCTGGGCAAATCGCACTCGTCCCAGTTACGTGGTCCGACCCAACTACAGCGAAACTATTTTAGAGAGTTGCATAGTTTATGGAGAAATGTCGATAACTTGAAAAGTGCGATATCGCCCGAAAGATTCATCACCGTTGAAATGAGTGGAAAGAGAAAGCATTTCGTTGCTGTTCTGCTGACCCGCTCACCTCAATTCCAATCCGCTCATAATAATAATCTTAACTCGCTCCTCGTGCTGATTTAAGATTGAGAGGACGCTCTTGTTCTCGAGCCACCAAAGCAAGTATGCACGACCAGCGAGAGACCAGCAACTTTGGTTGTGGGGAGTGAGACCGGACGGGTTTATGTAATCGCACCCGAGAGTGGGAGAGCCCAGTCCGAAAGTAGTAGATAAGTGGCAGCGGTGGTGGTGGTGGTGGTGGGGCGAGGTGAAAGCGTTACTTATGGGACAGAGAATGCGGATGTGGTACGGGATATGGAAATGAACACGGCACAGGGGCACAATATTGCCTCATAAAATGGGCTGACCAACCACGGCTAATAAATGTCAGCCCCCACCGCTCAACTATCGTCTCACTCTCCCAAAGCAGGCAAGTTTCTCTACCTGTGCCCTGTAGGAGTACCTGTTTGGCTGGTTATTGCGCTGGGCATTGGAATGCACAATTAATTCCCAATTCTGTACACTTGGCGAGGCGAAGGAGGCGAGGTGGTAAATAAGGCGCAAGTGAGAGTGTGACACATGTAACACACACACAAGCATGCATAGGCCGAGGCAGGGAGAAGTTGAGATTTCTCTCAGCAAAGCATGAGCCACCCGGATTTGTGGATAGCGTGCGAGGCAGAGTAGCCGGGTTTGCGCACTTGGCAGGGTGAAAGCAGGCATCAGAGGCTTACTTGTGGAGGATGGAGAGAGTAACCTTTGGCAAGAGTTTAGTCACACATGAGTTTTCTTGGACTCACTACAACCCTCCCGCACCGAAGGCTCTCCAAACTCGTCTCCTTTTCCACGCCGACTGGTGGTTATCCTGTTTTGCATCTCTCGCTCCCCAATTATTAGCGAGGTAAACAATACTTGCCCAACTGAGAGTGAGTTAGTTCTCGGGCCGAGTGTGTGTGTGTGTGTGCGAGTGCATTTATTTATTTCCACCTCGCCATCCACGACAGCGTTGTTTGCCCTTCGATCTTCTCTCTTCATCCGGCAAAGTTGGTGAAGCTCTGCTTTCTCCGTCTCGTATTCGTCGTCGTCGTCGTCGTCGTCCTCTTGCTCGTTGGAGCAGAAGATGGTTTGTGGAGCTGTGCATGGTGTTTGGATCGTCGGCATGCATAAAGTGATGTGGGACGAGGCCGGATTTGAAGTTTTAGAGATTGTCGGGCTCAAAAGTGCGGGTGAATAAATTGCACCCACACTGCGGAACCAACCCGCTCTTGTAGGAAAAGATTGGTTTTCATACAACTATTCCGAGTTTAAAAGATTTCAAGTTTGTCAAGAAATGTCGCCGGTGGTTCATGTCTATCAAATCAATGCGACTTGTGATGCTTTCTCCTCACAAAACTTAGTGCATTGAGCTGGGTCACATTTTACGCCCATTGTTCGCCGCCACGAACGACGGAGGAGGAAGAGGTAAAAAATCGTGAGGCGTCCAAGTCCTCTGAAAAATAAAACCTCCATCAACTCAGCCTTCCGTGTCCCCCCAGACTTTCCCTGCAGTTCATAAGTGCCACAACTCGTGGGCACTCCCCCACTTCTCCCATTCTGTGGAGGCAATAAGGAGCGTGTGAGGTTTGTAAATACGAGTGGAAAAAATGTTTGGACAAGTTTGAAGCACCACCACCACGTGTTTGCCCAGCCAGCTTGGTTGGTGGTGAGGAGAGAGGGAAATCGGGAGCAGTGTGGATGAGGAGAGACGACGGTGACAAATCTGTGTGCTTTTCTGCTTTCTCTCCACTCAGCCTGATAGCCACCAGACCACGGCTCCCGTATCCTCCTCCAACTGACGAAGGACAACAATGGCAAGGTGTGTGGAGCAGCTGCTGCTCATCTACCGTTCGAAATCTCCTCAAATGCTCAACAACTCTGTGGCTCCTGCTCCTCACTTTGGACGAATTGATACGCGTCCTGCCCCACAATAGTCGTCGTGACACTGGGGAGTCGTGTTGTGTGTGCGGTAATTCGGTGCATGTGCAAGTCGCCCAGACTGAGACTGAGACTTTGAAACTGGACGATAAAACTGCTTACATTTGAGCCGGACAGAGGTGCAGTTGACTTTTGTGACGGTGGTGGTTTTGTGAGCGAGGTGAGTATTCCAGATCCCTTGACCGCTATATATTCTTGCCCTACTTTTGCGTAGACGATTGCATAAATGGTGTCAATTTAGTCTGAGGCCCACTACCACTTGCCCACGTTTCGCGAAATGAGACTATTTGCGATTACCCTTTGTCCAATTTACTTGCTGGGAGTTGTTCTCTCGAGTTGATCCATTAGGATGCGAATTTGCCCAACTTTCTCCATTTTTATTTGTCGAGTTGGAATGGTGGGTGCATGGTTTGGTCAGTTGGTGAGTGAAAAACTTGGAATGACGAATGTTATATCGTCGTCCAGCAGTCCAGCCATCACTCACTCATCCGCCCACCCACTCAATGCATGCACAAAAGTTTGGGTCAAGTGGATTCTTTGTGTTTCCCACTTTCGCCTGGATTTCCAGGATCTTTCAAACCGCTGCAATTATTTAGCTCAAGCAGTACAGCGAGTTTTGCGGTTTTCTCGATTTCACTCCAGGGCACATATGCTTTCCTCACTCGTTGGTCCAAACGGGTGCAGTTGGTCCACGCACCCACGAGAGAGGAGAGAGAGAGAGACTTGGTCTGCAAACAAGGCTGCGGGGCTTGGACGTGTGGTGGTCGACTCACACAAGGAATAGTTAATTTGCCCAATTTACTATTTTATTAGCTTGAATATTGCACACTCGGGGTTTTCCAGGCGATATGGTCCTTGTCCTCTCTCGAAAAAGTTTCCATCAAGAAATGGAATAAATTGCACTTTTAATTTAAGTGGCTTCAGATATTCACTCATGTCTCTCTCGAAGTGATAGCACAATTTCCACCAACTCGACGCCCACCACTCCACCCTCATTATGAAGCTTCAGGATGGCAACTTAATCCTGCATTGTTATGAAATTTCCCTCCTGTGTACTTCGCCTTTGATGGTGAGCCTCCTGAAATTTCAACACGGTCGAAATCTGAAGCTAAATCTATTATGTATGCACAAACGGAATTACTTAATTTAATGGTTTTCTGGGATCGATCGAATTACATATTGCACAGGTAGCGACTAGCGAGGGAGACCGTGGTGAGAGGGAGATAGGAGCCGGATACGTAGGTTTGGGTGGGTGCGAGCAAATATAATCCAAAGCAGGATAAACTTTCACTGATATTGAGCAGACGGATAATTACATCGTGAATGTTTGAACTTATTGATCCTGCCCAAAGTACAAAACTTGCTCGTGTTCCTTCTTATTACTCAACCGCCGCGTATTGGATATTCATTCGATTTAAAACAACGAGCATGCACACCGGGAGTTATCGCACTTGAGCGCAGTTCCAATGAAACTGAGGAGCAGTGCTTTCACCAGACGTGTGGATCGAGGGTGCCAAGTACAAGTTGAGGCACGCGATTCGAAATAAACCAGATTATTGCGTCTTCTTCCCGTTATTATCTTTGCTGCCTGGCTGCCTGGCTATCTTGGAGGGCTGTAGATTCAAGTCGAATCAGAAGTGACACTCTTCATCTTGACTGATGGATGGATGCGGGCGAGAGATGTGCCATGATGAGTATGATGATCTTGTCATTTCTCACTTGAAGTCGTCGGCTGAGCAGAAATTTATTATGCTAGATTACCTCTACCAAATACAACCTGTCACCAGGATTGTGTGTGGTGCAGAGTAGAAAAAATATGAAATTTTGTGCTTTTTCTCAATTTCTGGAAACTTATATTTCCTCACTCGCGTCGTGTGTGTGTGCTTTTCGTGTGTGTCCCCAGAGTACTCAGTAATTGGGTTGTGTGACAACTTGAGTATAAACTTGGTTTTCATGTCTCATAAAGAAATTCATGAGCTGTCCATCATCCACGGTGGAAATATATGAGACATTTTTCTCCTTCTCACTCTTTATTTATTTTCCTTCATTTAATTGCATCAGCCGTTGCTTTCACTCTCTTTCGCTCTCTCGATGGATGAATCCGAGTCCATCAAACGTCAGGGTAGCGAGAACAGCACAGAAGCCCGATCAACAATCTGCAGACATGGCCCCAAAGACGGAATGTAAACCACGACCGATGCAACGGTTTGAGAACCAATTGTCTGAGCTGGGTATCTATTTTTTTGGATAATCCCGATTTGGGTGGTTAAGTATTTGTGAAAAAATTTTTGGGCGAATCGGATTTCAAAAAATGTTGCTAGTCGGGTGAAAGGTTCTCCTGGTACGTGGCATTGGGCCACGTGTCGACGTGCCTCTCGGGAAGAGGAGAAAGTATTGCCGCCGTCTTAAATTTATTTACTCTTTCTCGCCCATCCAGCCGTCAACGGATAGGATTGAGTTGAGAATGAGGAGAAAGTTGTGTTTATTTTCATGGGTGATGATAGAAGCGCACGAAACAATGGGAGCGCCTCTCATGAAATAAAACATGGATTGGTTTCATTTTCATTCCACTTCTGCCACCAACCAATCCACTCTTTTTTTGCACAACTCTTTTCGCTACAAGAGAATCCTAACAATTATTTGAAGCCGTGCTCATTAATTCAATTCCGAGCGAGGAAACTCCCCGATGGGTTTTCTCTTGTTTTGTATTGGCGTGGTGGTGGCGAAGCCTTGTTTCTTCTCCTTGATGGCTGACATGAAGGAACAAAGTTCGCTTTGGTGTGACTCCCACAAGAAAAGGCCTCTTCTTCCTCCAGTTACTGCATTAAAAGCAATAAAAGTAAGCGAAAAAAAGTTTATTTTTTTATTTTGAGGAAAAACTTGGCCTGCATGGGGAATGGAACAGGTGTTCTCTCAATGTCCAAGCGTATAGGATAGCAATTAGCACCAGGAAATGAGGGGAGTTTTCCCGTACGTACATACATATCTTGTGCCTATGCTATTATTATTATTATTATTGCGCTCGGCAAATATCAATATTTGCACTTCGGACAAACTCCGTATTTGCATAGCGTCTCGGACTCAATATGCGTAATAATTATGATAATTGAACCTTCTCGTTCCTCATATGAGTACATTTTCTGGCAACTTGAGTTTGAAAGTGGACCGAGACATAAATAGCAATAATATGTATGCATGTGTAATGTTGGGGGTAAACTGTATTGATTAGTCGGGTTCACGGGTTGATTTAGCAGCAAGAATGTTTGTTCGCTCATCTAATTCATTAGCTGAATTAATTTGAAGCTTTTAACTAATTAAAATTGTTCAAGTTGCTCATCACGTTGTGCAACAAACAATCCGTGGATCAGCACTTTCTGTGCACACAGGAACTCCACAGAAGTCCATTGTTGGGAAACATATATTTCGAATGCAATGCTACGTATAAATGTCTCGGTCGTAGTGGAAGTGTTGATGGCTATGCTATGACAAAGTGCACGTAAATAAGTAGGTTGGTTGGTTGGTGGGTTGTGAGGGTTTCATGTTGACTCAGCTATTTGCTTAGGTGCCTTGGTTGGCAGAAGAGAAGGTGGTGCAACATGGATTCACAGCTTTCACAGCTTTCACGAGATGATGATGCTAATCTCATCAACACCGATTTCCTGGTTGTGCGGTTTGGTTCATATCGTCTGAGAATTTCCAAATCCGCACTTATTCAATCGTAGGCACTGGGAGCAGTAGGTAGGTAGACAAAGTGGACGTGTGGCGCATCCTTTCTTTTGATCCATTGCCAAACACAATTCCCATCAATCCAAATTGAAAAATGGGAAAATGCGATTTTCGCCCAGTTTGCGATGTGTAGCCAACTTTCTCATCCTCCAAAGTTGTGTATCTAACAAACTACAGGGACACGGCTCAAAGTCGGTGTGATTGGTCAGAGAGATCGGGAGCGAAGTAAAAAGGAGTGCACGAGATCCGTGAATGAATGAAATCTTGCTTTCATCCAATAAGTGACATGTGATTGATGGCCACCGCCCATCGTATTTCTTCACATCACAACCAGATTTCCAGCCATCCATCAAATTCAGTTGCACTAATAAACAACAAAACAGTTTACAAAATACATCTACGTGCAGCACGAGAGAGCAAAGTCTCTTATGCCTTCAAAACCTTAGATTCGAAATCAAAGATTTGTTTAGGATCTCGTCCTCTCTCTCTCAATAGCTTGGATCCCGAGCAGGTTCACTCAGCGTCCTGCACTGGGATCGCATCTCGCGATGAGAATCTTGCTCCTTGGAGGAGAGTGAAAGTGATTTTGGTGAAAGAAGAACAGAGTCAATGGCATTTTAGACATTCCGCTCATGAGGCAGGTAAATTGATCTCGTTAAGTGAGACTCCTTCTTCTCCTTCTTCCTCAGCTAACCAACCAACCAACTGCTGCAGGATTACTTTTCGTACTGCTGTTACGACTGCCTTCTCATCAGCATCTACTTTCCAGTCAGCCTGTCGTCACCCTCTCGAGGAGGAAATGACGAATGCGACCTGTCAAACACTTTTTGATTTGTAGGCTCACATTTTGTTAAATTGCGTACTCCGAAAAGTTAGCACATGAGACGAATCCCGTATCAATATCAGATTAAATAATTCCCTGTAAAATCAAACCTTCTCCAATCCACTATTTCTGACTGCAATGCACTCTGTTTCACCCGTAGGAACACCCATGTTTGAGGAGAATTCGAATAAAAAAGGGGAAAAACGAGCATACAAACAACAGTTGGATCTCTTAGATCATTGGCGATGAGGACGGATCGAGCTTTATTTATTCCACTCTCGATCCGACGGAAAGCAGAGCCGTTCAAGTGCAAAAGAAGGGAAGGAATTCCACCGGCTCGTGTTTGCACTGCACAATTTGCAATTTACGACGAATTCCAGTTTCCTGGTTTCGTTTACCCACTCGTTTAATGTACCCCTCTCCCTTCTCCCTCGTGGGTATGGAGCCTTGCGTGGGTGTGTCCGTACAACAATGATCCAAGTGCTCGTCACCAGATCAACCTGACTGCTCATATGTTTCGAGCCTCTCCGTCGTCGTGGGCGAAGAGTGGCAGCGGAGAAAGTGGGGAGAAAGTGCACCCAACCGAGCAGATATCTACGGTTTGCCTTCTT